AACTCATGGAAGCAGTCTTGAAACTTCACGTTCCACTAAATATATAATGGTCGGCACGTGAAACTTCTAAAAGCATGAAACGTCAACGTTTTAATTGAGGCAACTACGTCAAATTTCTTTTACAGCGAAAGGAAAATATAACTCCATCATATTACGATTTTCCTCGTTTATTTAGATAATCTCATTTTTTTTTAAAGGAAGAGATAAAGTCAATCAGAGATTCTTATGTACATGTGTGAGTATACATATATATATATATATATATATATATATTATATACACACGCGCACATGCAGATATATATATATATATATATATGTGTGTGTGTGTGAAATTGAGTTTCAATTGTTATTAATTAGTTATGCTTGAGAACTTTTTCCTAATGTGGAAAAACAGTGAATTTGGTCGATAAGAATAACTACCAAGAAAAAAAAAGGTCATGCTTAAAATTTCTTTTAGGTGCATTGCATTTAAGTATTTCTTTTGATTAGAAAAGCCAAATTATGAGAAGTATTCTTTTTTTAATTAGAAACTTACATTTTGTTAGCTTCCAACATTTCATATACTAATTTATTTATTAATCTTAATTACTTTATATATATATATATAGAGAGAGAGAGAGAGAGAGATTAGTTAATGGATGACTTTGTTAATTCAATTCATACCTTTAAAATTAACCCAAATTTCAAAAATTATTTTATTTGTGTTTTACCATTATTTTTATTATATTAAAATTAATATTTGAAAGAAACTCAACCAAACTTAATTTTTTGTGCGATTTTAGAGATATACTTCATATACTTATTAGCATAGCAAAGAATATTTTTTAAAATTGACAAAGTTGTTACCACATTAATTATACAATACGATGCATTTGTAATTTACTATAAATTATCATATTGATATAACTATAGCGGGATATAGTGTTTCATTGGAAAAGAGTACAAACTCTAAAAGTCAATATATAAATATGTGATTGTAATAAACATATACCAACCTAATACGATCTTAAAGTTTTATGTTGACTGTTATGTATGACACAAATTGGTGTAGTGGGAATGAATAACATCTTGAAAGATAACAATAGTTGGATGGTGGAGTCTATGAAGAAATCTTCATAGCTACCTCTTAGTAATTGGCAAACTTAATGTATCTGATGGGGTACAAGAATCTAACATGGTGGAGCCTATGAAGAAATCTTCATAACTACCTCTTAGTAATTGGCAAACATAATCTATCTGATTATTAATAATAACTCGATGGTAGTTATTTTATAAATCAAGAGCAACGGGTTCCCTTGAAGCTTTAGTTACTTCGCAACGTCTACTACAAATTGATTAGATAAATTAAAATTTATACCCTAAACCATTAATAGGAAGAGGAACTTAATGATAAATGTATTAGCCAAGATGGATGTTGGAAAAAAGTGGGTTTAGTTGCCTCTGTTTAGCGTTCACTATTGATAGAGGTGCCTTGTTCAGGAATTTTATTTTATTATGATCTTCTAAACTATTTTATTCTAATGTATTTATTGAGCTTGAATTATAGTGTTTACAGGGTTCTTTTATAAGGTTGGCTATACAGTTTGAAGTAGCTCTAACTTAAAAAAAAAAAAATAGATTTTAGATTAAAAAATACTTATAATTTGATCTTTGTTCCCTTTGTTGTTATATGCTATGTTGTCCAAATCTTCTTTCTTTATAATTCTATTCAATATGTAAAGTTTTTTTATGCAAGTATCATGTACCCCCAATCTCTCTCTTGATGCTAGTTTTTCTTTTTTTTTTTTTGTACACGACCAGACTATAATATATGTAATGACAATAAAAGATTTATTTACCTTAAATGTAGTTTAACTCTTATTTAATAAGAGTATGTTCTATTTCTACTTTGGTTGTTGGTGTGTGGATGCGGGTACATGAGTTCAATATTTGTTCATAATTATTGAGAGTTTCTTTAAGTTATGCATTTTTATTGGGAACATATAGTAGAAGTGTTTCTTTTAAAAATTTAGTGTGAGTTTTAAAAAATATCGGAGACAGTCTCAAAGTTATCAAAAATTAGATGTGCAAAGTTTGATTTCCAAATATCTAGTTTTTGGTGGTGTTCTTTAGTGTATGCTCTATTCTCGTGAGGTGAAGATAGATGTTATTTCATAATATAGTGGATGCGATGCCCTTTATTAACTTCAAAGGTCCAAGTCTCATAGGGTTTTTAATTTTTCCAACAAAGGCCGCACAAATGTTATTAATTGATTTATTTTAGTCTCCTATGTTATTGCTAGGTGTAGGTAAATGAATTTTAATAGTTGTATTGTTTGTGATTATCTTATTATTATAATACAAATAACTTCTTTATAAAGTAATTCATATTTTCTCATGAACTTTTTTTCTGAACTGTTGTGTTTATTTTCTAGTTGGCCTATGATATTTTATGGAGACTTTTGAGTATGAAATTTCTTTTGCTTTGTTTGCGGAATTTATCTACTATGGTTCTAACACTATTTACCCATGTGTTTATATCTTTGGCCTAATAAATTTGCTTTTATTTAGTATATTGTATCTCAGTCTTTTGAGGCATTGTGCTATTGTTGTGAATTCTTTGTTAACTGCTCAACAATATTTCTTTTTTTTTTTAAAAAAAAAAAGACATAAGTACTAGATTCATTATACGTAATATATAAACAATAAATTAAGTTTTTCATATTCCTTTACACTTTTATAAAAGTTAATCGAACTTGTTTATTTTCACATTATATAAAGGACAAATATTTAGAGTTAGATTATTGACTCGTTTTCTAGTTGTGCTGATTAGGAATTCGTTTAGAACTAACATAAAATATTTATGGAATTTATCTGTATATCTTATTAATATAAATTAGTCACCTATGCTCCTATAACTTCTAATAATTAGTCTTGATAATCATATTTATTAATAAATATTAGTCTTTAATAAAAAAAATTATCTTCTAGATTAAGTACGAGTTAATGATTATTGTGAAGTAATTAATTTTCTTTTTTTGGGAGAGAATTACTAGAAGGTGTATGTGTATACAGGTCGGTCCCGCCCATGTGTCTTCTTTCAAGCTTCCCCTCTTCAACTTCTCACATGTCACGCCACTATATATATATACACACACACACACACACACACATATCATATATATACATACATATATATATTTGTATATGAAGGTGTATATATAATATATTGTGTATATATAATATAAATATAAAGAGTATATAAAAGGAAGAGATGATATTGCAAGCCAAACATTATAAATATCACACACGGCACAAAAATATGCCCATATTAATTACTTCCATTTCAGCTTCGAATTACGTCGAAACAAAATTTATCAAGGCAAGAAACTTTACAAGGGGTGCCGAACTTGGCCATCACCTCATATTTTCGACCCTATACACCCATATATATATACATACATACATATATATATATATATAATATTGCATGGTAGTAATCTAATTTCAATATATACATAAGTGATTAAATAAGTAAAATATTGGGTTTGTAGTTTCTTTTTTTTCATGAAATGTTTCCTAATTAATTTTGATATGAAGTAATTCATTTTCCATCTATATATATATATATATGGTATTTTCTATTTAGAGAATTTGGAGTTTATATATGTAGTACTCAATGATTTAATGTATTGGGATTAATTAAGTAAATCAATAACAACGACATATGAAATAAATTTTTAATAGAAAAAGATAAAAGAAAAAATAAAATGTGTGTGTGTGTATATATATATTTATATATATATATACACGGCATATATGCATGCATCGTAGCTAGGAAAGTAAAAGACGGTGATGATGAGACGGGTCGGGCGAGGACTAATTTAATTTTGGGGTGGCACGAAACCAATTCAGCATTTTACTTTCTTCCCCTATTTTACTGTAAGCTAACCCTTTAACATTCTCCCTGCCAAAAGCAACTACATATACGTGTATGTATCATTTATATATACATATTTAATATATAAATATATATATATATGTGTGTGTGTGTAGTTAATTTCTGCTCCTAAAACTATGTGTACCACCTCTCCCACTGTTCCAAGTCAAATCCATTTTCATTAATTATTTTCCTTTTCACTTTTTAAAAAATTAAGCATTTATATTTTCTAATTTTTACTTTTAAAAAAGCTTTAAAATATTAAAAATTCAACTAAAAATAATACAACTACAACTACAACTACTCTACATTTTGGCTATGACATATTGTTAATTAAATATTATTTTAAAAAATAAAATTTAAATCTACCAAGATTTTTATACTATAAAATCATCAAATTTAGTCAATGACACGAAGTAAATATGAGACGGGTGCGTCAAATTTTTTTACTTGTTCTACGAATGAACACATAAATTTATATCCGTCTCATTTATTTAATTTTTAAATTTTATAAAATATTTAAATAATTTTAATTAAAAAAATATTGAATATTAATAAAAATAAAATATAAATTAAACTAATATTAAAATATAATAATCAATAATAAATATAAATTAATATTACAAATATATAACATTAATTATTTATTAATTAATGTAAATAAAATTTTAAAAATTTATTAATTATATATAGGACGACAAGAGCGGATATAAAATAAATAAATCGTTAAATTCATACCCGTCAAATATTTTTTTCGAGTTTATAACTTTATATCCCAATTCATTTCATACTCCATTAGTTACAAAATTTTATTTACTCCATTCAAATATGAATTGGTGCGGCTTAGTTAGTAGCTCAACCGTACCAAAAATCAATACATACATGTGTGTGTGTGTGTGCGTATACGTATATATATATAACCGGGTTGATGTATTATATGTACCATGTTACTTAAAATTTAAGGGTAAGTACAAGTGATGGGTCATTTATCTTGGTATATTACATAAATACAGAATTAAAATTTAATTATTTGATCGAACATAAATTGCCAAAGTCAAATGTGAACTAAGAGGTTAAACAACGAAAAAAAACTTCCATAAAATCTGAAATTTGGTATAAATGCAATTATACCTATATATATATATATATATATATATATATACCAAAATAGCTAGATATAGAAGCTACCACTTCATTCTTACGAAACAAAACATCAGAATGTGACCAGAAGCACTTCATTTTACCTGCTCTAACTATAAGAAATTTCTATTTATTACAAATTTTTTAATAATAATTCAATTATTAATTTTCATTTAGTTTGTTCTTTGTCAAATTAAATTTTTTTATTATTTTAAGTACAAACGTCTGAATTATTTAATACAAATTTATTATCAATATACGACTAAAATTAAGAAGCCAAGTAAAACAGTTTTTCAAAAAGTTGGGCGCCGCAAAATTGCTAGTTCCAGTCCCCTGTAAAACCTCTCTCTATAAATTCCCCATCCTCCATAACCGTCCTCAACTCCCCATCTTCACAACTCATCTCTCCGACTCAACAATGACGACAATCCGCTCTCACAACCTCCTCCTCCTCCTCCTCCCCCTCCTCCTCCTCTCATCCTCCGCCACCCCATCCTCCGCCACATCAACCCACAACGTCGTGGCCTACGGAGCCAAACCCGGCGGCACCACTGACTCCAGGCAGGCCTTTTTATCCGCCTGGAAAAACGCGTGTGCGTCTGCCCGCCCGGCCACTCTCTATGTGCCGCGAGGGAAGTTCTTGCTGGCCGGTAGGATTGTTTTCGATGGAGAATGCAGGAACAGTAAAATGGTGGTGCGTATAGATGGAACCCTCGTGGCGCCGGCGGATTACAGGGTTCTTAAAGATGGTGGGTACTGGGTTTTGTTTCAGAACGTTAATGGACTCTCGGTTTATGGTGGAGTTCTTGATGGCCGTGGGTCTGGCTTGTGGGATTGCAAGAAGGCTGGCCATAGCTGCCCCTTTGGAGCTACGGTACGTATCTATATATATATATATATATACACACACACACACATGTATGTCTGCAGGTATATGTGTTCATTTCTTTTTCTGGGTGTTCTGTGTATCTCTATGTGTGTGTGTGTGTTTGTGTGTATATACATATAGTCGTTTATAGAATCAAAATGTGTGTCGTTTTAGTAGTTGCCATGCACCGTTTTGCATGGGGAGTTTTTGCCCTGGTGAGAAAGTTGATGGCTTTTTCTAAAATCTAAACTAGCTGGGGAACTAAATACATATGATATATAAAAAAAAAATACATAAGGTATATAAATAACTATATGTGTCTTTTCAAAGAAATTATATAAAAATATATTTAGTACGTGGTCAGATTTTCAGGGAGAGTGGGATATAAAAATGGGTAACCGCAAAAATCTGTTCACAACAGTAATTAATTATAAAATATTTCAGATATATCTCTAAATATAATATATATTTATTTTAAATTATATAAAAAATTATTATTTGGGGTTAATTAATGGAAGTAGAAACCGAAGGTCAAAGGTTACTCATTAGGTTCTAAAAATTGATCATGCATTTAACACACGTAATTAATGATACACATCATCAGCTTATTAATTACTTGTAATTATTCTAATTACCTTCGAGTTTAATTTCAGTCAATCGGGTTTCTCAACTCCCGGAACATAGTGATCGACGGGTTAACGTCGTTAAACAGCCAGGTATTTCACATCGTTATCTACGGCTGCAACAACGTGAAGCTTCAAGGCACGAAAGTCTCAGCCTCCGGCGTCAGCCCCAACACCGACGGAATCCACGTCCAGATGTCATCCCATGTCACCATCCTCTCCTCCACCATCGCCACCGGCGACGACTGCGTCTCCATCGGCCCCGGCACTTCCACTCTCTGGATCGAAAACATGGCTTGTGGCCCCGGCCACGGCATAAGCGTCGGGAGTCTCGGAAAATACTCTAACGAGCCCGGCGTACAAAACGTGACGGTTAAAAGTGTCAGCTTTACTGGAACCCAAAATGGCGCGAGGATCAAATCGTGGGGGAGACCCAGTAATGGTTTTGCTAAAAATATTATCTTTCAACATGTAACGATGAACAATGTCCAGAACCCTATTGTTATTGATCAGAACTACTGTCCGGGAAACGTCAGGTGCCCCGGGAAGATCTCCGGGATCAAAGTTAGTGATGTAACGTATGAGGATATTCATGGCTCGTCGGCGACGGAAGTCGCCGTGAATTTTGATTGCAGCCCAGAGCGTCCGTGTACGGGGATAAAGTTGCGTAATGTGAGACTCAGTTATAAAAATCAGAAGGCGGAAGCTTCGTGCAAACATGCCGGCGGGACGGTGTCCGGAACGGTTCAGCCCAATAGTTGCTTGTGATGATGGGAATTTTTATTCATGATGGAAATTAGAATTTAAAAAAAGAAAATATGTATGTGTTGAAGCTATGTAATTAGTGATAATTTGGTTGGTGTTAGAGATTAAAGTAATTTAGTTGGATTTTAGTGTGTTTTGATGTGATTTGAGAAAAAATGGAAAAGAAAATTATTGTTAGTTCATAAATAATTTAAGTCAATTTTATTCATATATTTCACTTTATGAATTTAAATTTATTTTAAATTATTATATGTCAATTAATTTAACACATTGTATTTAAATTAACGAAAACGAATTTAATTCAAAATTTTCCAAAAAATTCAATTAATTTGATCAAAGATTGAGCCAACACAATTTTGAACATAAATAGTAACAAATAATTTAAAATTTTTATGGGTTGTGTTCGGCTCGGGCTGTACCAACTGGGCCTAATGAGTCATATTTCAACTTGACCCGTATTATAACGGGCTATCGGATCATGGAATCAGCCCGAATTAATAATATTATATATATATATGTATATATTTCTTCTAGAAGCTTTTTTTTCTCTCTCTCTCTCTCTCTCTTTTTTTTTTCCTCAAAGAAAAAGCGTATGCATGAAAATTGTAACTATGGAGAGGTTAAAAAGAACTAAAGTACATAACAGAAAATATTAATAAAGCTATAAGCTATATATACACCTTTATTTACTTACTTTTATTCAAATTATACTCCAAGCTATACATTATGACAACTGCAACAGAATTTCCTTCTCTTTTTCTCAATATATATACATATATATATATATATATCCATATATCCATATATCCTAAGCCGTTAAAAATTACATACTAAATATATGGTCGGTGGATGTACGTACAAAATTATATAAGATATGTAAAGAGATATAAGGCAGTATTAACTCTCACTTTAATATATACATACATATGAATGTATATGTATGTATATATATATATATATATACAGAACTTGGGAGGAAAGAAAAAATGAAGGTCCTGGATTTTCATTAACGAGAGATTTGGTATTCGTACAGAGAGAGGTTAAAACTAATTAATCTATTAAACAGTTAATTACTTAATTAATAACAACTGATTACAACTAATTAAAAACTAAATACAATTAACTAATTAATTAAGAACTAATTACAACTAATTGCTATCGCAATTACAAGATTATATTGGTGGACAAAAGGTCTCTCATTACATGTCTGTCAACTTTTTCTCATTTACAAATAGGGATGAAGAATTTTTTGTCAGTCAAAATTTTGACCATGTAATATTTTATATTGGCGGTATGAAACTCTGACAGGATAGTTTGACATATATATATATATATATATGTGTGTGTGTGTGTGTGTGTACATATATATATATATATATATGTATATGCATGCATGGGAATGGTGCGGTGCCGTTTAATTTGGGCCAGTTTTTCAAACTAACATGAAAGCCCCCAGATTCATGGGCCACATCATTGAAAATTAACGCTATCCCAACATGATCCCATATGCCCGTCCTTTTCACTACCGAAACATATTTACCTTGTTACCCTCCTCAACACAAGGAACGTGCACCACAAGAAACACATTAACACACACACATACACATATATATATATATATATTATTACATATGTATATAATATGTATATATATATATAAGTGGAGAAATCAGAGGCATTGATCTTGCTCTTAAAGCAAATAAAGCACAACATGGCAGTTAGCGCAGAAGAAGATACGGGTCTTTTGTTCCATGTTTTCTCTGTGTTATATATATTAATAATATATATATATTATATGTCATATAAACTGGAAATGGAAGTCTGGTGGCCGTCACAAGCAACCCCTTAACGTGGATTTGTCCTGCATGGATTTCATGACGGCTAATGCAAATTTACTAACATGTCCTCACTTTTATAATATTGTATATTAACTATCAATATTATTATATAATGATTAAAGAATAACATTTTAGTTTTTACAATAGCTGTACTATATAGTTTTATTTTAAAAATAGTAAACCCTTTTTCATTACAATATTATATATACTAAAATCAATTGTCATTTTATTTATATACAATTTACAAGTAATAACAAAAAAATCCATAAATATAAGGGCATTTTGGTAATTAGCAAGAGCCGAAATTGTTCAATAGAAGCAAAACAAAAGGATCGTAAAACCTGGACGTAGCTATAGCTTGCTTCTCGGTAATGCTAATCGAAAATCCAAATATAATTATTTAATAGATATAATTATATACACATGCATATATGTTCACATCAATTTCACTCGCCATATGCATCCTCCACCCTATATATATACCTTTCGATACTCCCCAGCACCAACACAACTACCTTCAACTTCCTCTGCCTGCCTCTCTCATTCATTTTCTTCTTCTCTATACAAGCTTTCACTAATGGCGAACTCACTGAGTTATGATCATAACATTCTTATTCTTTCCCTCATTATCCTCTTCTTCTTTCTGATAATGACCCCTTCATCCTTAGCAGACCCAGTGAGTTACAATGTGATGAGTTACGGAGCCAAGCCCGACGGCACCACCGACTCGACAAAGGCCTTTTCAGCTGCATGGGACAAAGCCTGCGGCTCGAGAAACCCTGCCACCATGTACGTGCCTGCTGGGATGTTCTTGCTCCGTAATGTGGTGTTTCAAGGCAAATGCAATAACGACGCCGTTTCGGTCATAATCGACGGAACACTCGTGGCTCCGTCGGACTATAAGGCCACTGCAGGTTCTGAAACGTGGGTATTGTTTGACAGCGTTAACGGAGTTTCCATCTCGGGTGGAACTCTCGATGGTCAAGGCGCTGCCTTGTGGGCTTGCAAGAACTCCGGCCATGGCTGCCCTAGAGGCACATCGGTACGACTTTAAATGAATATTTTTTAATTATAAATTCATACATATATATATATATATAAATAAACTATAATATAAGTTTATTCATTGATTTAATGTGCAGACATTGCGTTTTATAAATTCGGAGAACATTGAAATCAACGGCCTGACGTCAAAGAACAGCCAGTTATATCACATCGTGGTGGAAGAATGCAGCAACGTCAAAATGCACGGCGTTAAGGTGTCAGCCGCTGGGGACAGTCCAAACACTGACGGCATTCACGTGGAATCGTCAAACGGCGTCTCCATCTTCAATGCCAGAATCGCAACCGGGGACGACTGTGTCTCTGTGGGTCCCGGCACCAAGAGTTTATGGATTCAGGATGTCGCTTGTGGGCCCGGTCATGGAATTAGGTACATAATTAATTAACTAATTGAAATTAACTTAGTAATTGTAAGATTAATTAAGAAAATTAATCGCACAATTTTTGACAGCATTGGGAGTCTAGGCAAGGAAATGAACGAAGCCGGTGTAGAGAATGTGACTGTCAAAACGACGACGTTTAGTGGGACAGAAAATGGAGTCAGGATCAAAACATGGGGAAAACCCAGCAATGGATTTGCCAGAAACATTGTTTTTGAAGATGCCGTGATGAACAACGTAAAAAACCCAATCATTATTGATCAACAATACTGTCCTGATGATCATTGTTCCCAAAAGGTAATTCTCATTATACACACACACGCACATATATATATATATTATGATATTAAAATCTTCATGCATGTAGGTTTCGGGTGTGAAAATAAGCGAGGTGACATTTGAAGATATTCGAGGAACATCTGCAACAGAAGTTGGTGTTAAACTTGATTGCAGTCCGACGAAGCCATGCACGGGAATTAAAATGGAGGATATAAACCTAAAATACCATAATCAACCAGCCGAAGCTTCATGTGTCAATGCAGAAGGAACTACTTCTGATATTATTCAACCAATGGGACGATTATGCATTCGAGGATGATTAAATTTTTATGAATTTCAATAACAATTACTATAAATTATAATTTATAACTTTTTATGATTGTGTTACTGGCCACGTGTCAAATTATTGTTTGTCCTGGCAAATTATAAAGATTTAATGAAATTAATTCATGTATAATATGATAAATTTTAATCCACATATTACATGTTATATGTGTATGTATGTTTGTGTATTTGTAGCATTATATGCATGTGAGAATAAACCTAATTATTGAAAAAAATAGGAAAGAAGAATAAATAATTGACTTTGATAATTAGTTGGGTTCAAGTCCCTCTCCAAACTGAACCTAAACAATTCGTGAAACCCAAAAAGTGTTACGGAAATTTTCCATTTCTCAGCATGATTTATATTTATTTGAATTTAAAAAAAAATGCAAAAATGATAAAAATTAATATAAATGATAATATATTCTAAAATTAAAAAATATTATTTTAGTCTTTATATTTTAAAAAATTTTATTCTTTTTAATTTTATATTTTTAAAAATTATTCATATTAAATTTCTCTAAATTTTTTATAATACCATTAATATTTGATAATTTATTACGCATTACCGAACTTAAAAATTAAAAAAAAAACAAACAAACAAACAAAAAACGTAAATAGAAAAAAAAAAAAGATTCCCTTTTTCTCATTTTTAAAATTTTGTGGTTTTATTTTTCTCGTACGAATTTTAACTTTTCTAGTGGGAATTAATTGCTTGGAAAGGACAGAAAACGAACACGTACAGAGAGAATGAGCGAGAGATTCACACTATCTAGAGAGGGAGACGGCGTGAACGGGAGCCAACGAAGAAGAAAAGAGGATGTTAACAATGACGGATAGCAGTGGCGAGCAACAAGCAGGTGATATTCAAGGACTATGTCTACAGATTTCTACTGGAATCTCACATGTACGTCGCCACCAGCACCGTGAATCTGAAACTTTCACGAGGCTCCGGTTCCATTCTCGTCAAGAATCTGTACTTTGTCTTGCGATCCTTACATGCGACTTTACCCTTCTTTTGTTGTTTGATGTTGCTGAATAAATTTAACTGTGATCAAGATTTAGATCAGAAATGAAATTTGAAGATCATATTCTAATGAAGTTGTCGTGCACTAGTGAACCAATTTGCTGGTTTTGAATTGTGATTTATGCAGCCACTGTTAGGATTTGGAGTGGCCGAAGTACTGGACTCTGGATGCCCAGACTTCAAAAAAGGTGACTTGGTTTGGGGTACAACTGGATGGGAGGAATACAGTCTCATTACAAAGCCTGATAAGTCTCTCTAAAATCCACCGTAGAGATATTCCCTTGTCCTACTGCACTGGAATTCTTCGTAAGTAATTGGTTCCAGAAATTCATTGTTGGAAGAGTATAAGAAGTTTTTAGTGATGCAAAAATGTAAAATTTAAATAATTAGATGTATATATTGAAAAGAGAAAATATATTATATTCAATCTAAATGTAAAGTCGTTACAAAACAATATACAATTTATATATAAGCAACAAAAAACTCTTATTAATTTTTTTATTGATAAACGTTCATTTATTTTATTTAATTATTATTAAATTCTGTTATTTAATTTTTTATTATTTTGTTTTAATTTTTCATAACTGGTAATTTATAATATTTTTGTAACTGACAATTTATTATTTTTAATAAAGAAAATAATTAATTTTAACAATCTTCTCATTTAATTTATTTTCTTTAACATGTCGATTAAATTCCAATTGTGTATGAATTTTTCTTTGGTCAATATTTTTGTGAAGATATCAACAAGCTGAAGATCCGTTATGCAAAACTTAAGTTGTACCTCTTGGTGCTCGACTACTTCTCGAATGTAATGATACTTGATAGCAATATGTTTGGTCATGTCATGCCTAACTGGATTCTCACTAATTGCAATCGTTGACTTACTGTCACAGAATATTGTTGTTGGTTTTTCTTATTTCTCACTAATATTTTCTAGAATTCGTTTTAACCAAACTACTTGGGTGACGGTACGAACTGCTGTTATGTACTTAGCTTTAGCTGATGATAACTTCACTACACTCTGCTTCTTTGATAACCATGAATAAAGACCAGTTTCGAGTGAAAAAGCATATCCTGATGTACTTTTATGTCATCAACACATTCAGCACAATCGGTATCTATGTAATCGATCAACTTTGAGTTTTCTACTAATTTATACCATATGCCATAATTTGTTGTACCTTTAATATATTTGAGTACTCTCTTTACAATTGTGAAGTTTAGTTGACTCGGACTGTTCATGAATCTTAATAATAGGCTACCAGCAAACATGATAGTAGGTTGTGTTGCAGTCAGATATAACAAACTTCCAACTAAACTCCTGTAGGTGATTTCATCTACTCTCTTTGCTCCATAGTTTTTTTTTCAACTTTTCATTGGCCAGTAAGAGAGTTGTAACTGACTTGCAATCTTGCATATTAAATTTTTTCAAAATATTTTTTGCATATTTTTTTTGTGATATAAAAACGCTTGTATCACCTTAGCATACTTTTATACCCAATAAATAATACAGCAAGCCAAGATCACTCATCTCATATGTCTCCATCATATTCTTTTTAAATTCTCTGAGCATTATTTCATTGTTACCTGTATAAATTAAATCATCAACATATAAGGAGACAATTAGAATATCAATACCTATTTTCTTGACATATAAAGTCGGCTCGCTCTTGCTTTTTTGGAATTCTTTCTTCGTGAAGTATTTATGTATCTCACTATACCATGCTCTTAGTGCTTGCTTTAGGCCCTATAGTGCTTTCTCTAACTTGTATACTTTGTTCTCTCCCCCTTCAACTAAAAATCTTTCTAGATATTCGACATAAATTTCTTCGTGAAGATAACCATTCAAAAAGACTGATTTGACATCAAGTTGATACAATCGCCAACCTTTTTGAGCTACCAGAGCAATAATAGTTCTAATTGTTTCTAGTCTTACTGTAGGAGTATAAGTCTCGTAATAGTCTATACCATACTTTTACTTAAAGCCTTTTTGTCACAAGTCTTGCTTTATACTTCTGAATTGATCTATTTGGATTCAATTTTATCTTATAAATCTATTTAACACCGATCACTTCACGATCTTCTGGTCAATCTACTAGCTCCCAAGTATTATTTTTCTCTATCATGTGGATTTCATATTCTATGGCTTTTATCTAATTTTGTTGTTTCTCAGCTTCTTCAAAACTTTGTAGAGTGACTAGCAAAAAATTACATGATTCATAAATTTTAATCTTTTTACTCTTCTTGGAGATGACTCTGGAGTAACTGACTCTTCTCTGGTATTTCTACTAAAACTCAGGCTTGAACTTAGACTAGAAATTGAGCTTGAACTAAACTCATTTTGTCTTGGAGTGCTATCTTGAGTAGTTTGTCCTCCTAATGAGATAATTGTTGCAGACGATTGCTTTTCTCGAACCTTCTCATCTTCCCAATTCCAGGAAGGATTCTAATTGAACACAACATCTCTACTGATTATCAACTTCTTCTTCTTCTCTAAATTGTACACCCTGTACCCTTTTGTACCATAAGCATAGTTTGCAAAAATATATCTTTCACTTTTGTTATTGAATTTTGATATATTTTCAGTTGGTACATGAGCATAACATACACAATCGAAAATCTTTATATGACTAATCACTGGCTTGACACCACTCTATGCTTCAATTGGAGTTCAGTTTGGAACAGATTGTCAAACTCCTGTTTAAGATATAAACTGTTGTATTTACTACTTTTGCCCAAAAAGTTTTAGACATATTTTTCTACTTCAGCATCGATCTAGCCATCTTGACACCACTCCATGCTTCAATTGGAGTTCGGTTTGGAATAGATTTGTCAGACTCTTGTTCAAGATATAAACTGTTGTATTTACTACTTCTGCCCAAAAAGTTTTAGACATATTTTTCTGCTTCAGCATCGATCTAGTCATCTCGATAATTATGCGATTCTTTCTCTCAGCAACATCATTTTGTTGAGGAGTATATGTTACTGTCAACTGTCTTCGAATATCGCATTCTTCTCAAAAGCTATCCAAATTCTTCGAGGTAAACTCACTGCCTCGATCACTTCGTAAAACTTTAATTTTATGATTACTTTGATTTTCCACCATAATTTTAAATTTCCTAAACACTTCAAAGGTCTCTGATTTTTTTTTTTTTAAATATATCTATATTATCCTTCAATGATCATCAATAAAAATTATAAAATACCAATTTTTGTCTTGTGAAGGTGTCTGCATCTTTCCACATATGTCGGTGTGCACCAGTTCAAGTGGTGCACATGCTCGCCAAGATCTTCCAGATGGAAAAGATGTTACGATGTTGTTTGCTAAAGATGCATCCTTCACATGTGCTCGACTTTGTGTTGATATATAGTAGGCCTTGAATCATATTTTTGACTCTTAACAGTTTTAGAGCATTATAGTATATATGACCATACTTTTTATGCCATAAATCTAAGCAGTCAGCAACTTTAGTTAGTAATGCCATTTCTAAAGCATATTTTATTTGCAGCGAAAAATTTATGAACTTCTCCATATCAACTTTTGTAAGAAGATAATTATTATTTTTCAGATTGAAAATTTTGCAACCTCCATCTTCAAAATGTACTGCATAACCATTTTGTAAAAATTGTCCGATAATCAGCAAATTTTGCTTCAGATCTAGCACTAATAGCACATCTCAAAGAAATTTAGGTCACATTTTAATTTGTATTGCAATACTGCTTTTACCTTTACCTTGAACCAAATGACCATTTCCTATGTGTACCTTGGTTTCGTATGACGTATCTATATTTTGAATAATTTTTGGTTACCTGTCATGTGGTTTGTGCATTCACTATCTAGATACCAATATCATGCTTTTCTTATGTTGCAGCATGACATGTGAAGAAAATATTTTCAGAATTTTCATTTTCTTCTATGAAATTTACGCGATCATTAACTTGACTTTTGCTTCTGTATTTTGCAA